GTTTTCTTTGTCTCTTCCTGTTTTGGAATTCTGATCACCTGTAGGTTATTCTTCTTCATGTTGTTCCACATGAATCTTAGGCTTTCTTCAGATTTTTTTTTTTCTCTGATTGTTCTTCTATCTTGCTAGTATTGAGAGATTTATCTTCAAGTTCACTAATTTTGGCTTCAATTGATTCAGTTCTACTCCTTTGCCCTTTCAGTGTATTGTCCCTAATGGGATCTCTTTCAGAGCAGTTTGTTGTGGTAGCAAGGCACCATCTATTTCTTCTGATCTCAGTATCATGGAGACTGATGTTCACATGCTCATTAATCTGTTGGGCTAATTAATTCCAAGCATCTTCAATTCTCATCACTTTTCTTTCGTTCTAACATGCAGAGACTAATATGCACCTTAGACAGCCACTCATGATTTTTTAAGATTCCAGATGCTACTCACCAAAGTAGGATGTAGAACATTGTTTTTGTGGACTATGTATTGCAGTTGATCCTGGTGTCCCCTGAGACTATAGTCCTGAGTCCCCAGACCCAGCAATTCATTGCCTTAAGATACTTGATAATAGCTAAGAAGTTTTCATCATTTTTCCCCCCTGTATGCCCCACCATATTCATAGCTATGTTTGCAGGAAATGTATAGATATCCTCTGTAGATAATCCAATGTATAACTATTCTCTTTCAAACCCTTATTTTTTGTGGATATACTACCTCTCTTCCTCCCATACCCATTGGCCTATATCTCTGTGCGTGTATTTACCCACAGAACACTGTTGTTCCAAGGTTGTGTATATAACACTGTTTACCTCTGTCCCCTTTAGACCTTGCATACCTTCCTGTGTTTTGACTTGTCTTCTTCATTCTTCTGCCCTCCCCTTTCAGGTATGTTGCCTTCCCCATCACTCAAGTTAACATGTGTCTGTCCTCTAGCCAGTGAATCACTCTCCCTTCCTTACCACCCCTGGTAACCATCAAAGAGTGTTTCTTTTAGCATAAAAGCCTTTTCTTGACTTTTTACATAGTTGTCACATACAATTTTTACCCTTTTGTGATTGGTTAATTTCACTCAGC